ATCCATCCATCCATCCACCCCCCCACCCATCCATCCATTCATCCATCCACTCATCCATCCACTCATCCATCCATCCATCCATCCATCCATCCATCTATTTACTCATCCATCCACCCACTCATCCATCCATCCACTCATTCATCCATCCATCCAACCATCCTTCCACTCATCCATCCATCCATCCATCCATCCATCCATCCTGGGGAGGATCCATCCATCATTTTCTGTTTTTTTGTAAGTTTCACATTAAACTTCTGTAATTATGTCCTTTCAAACCGTGTAGGAACCCAGTGAGAGCCGGGAACATTATTCCGTCTGTCAGTACAGTAAGAACCCAAACATTGCCAGAACCCAGATTCACGGCTTCAGAGGAGATGAGTTATGCGGGTCCATCTCAATTCAGAAACTGATCCTTAACCAGCCAGCCCTGGAGCTAGTCTGACGAACTGAAGTGAAAGCTCACAGAGCAAAACAGACATTGCCCTGCGGTCATTTCTGCAAGAAAAAAAAAAAAGCTCATCACATCTACAGATTATCCACAGGCAGGTGTCAATCATGATGAGAGGTCACACACAAAGAGAATCAAAAGTTGTGCAATTAAGTCAAGTAGAAGTGGAGGATGCAGTGACGGATGACAGAGAGGGGAAGGCGGACGATGTGCAAATTGGTATGGAGTGCATGGAAAGAGAGGGCACTTTGGAGAGGGACTAAAGTAGAACCCATCCAATTATAAAAGCTGATTAGCTGTGTCAATTAAAAGTGTGATGGATGTCCTTTCAATTATTGGCTGGCATCATGAGAATCAATGACTGCAGGCCAGGAGGAGCTGCAGTGAGCACTGGGATCGTTTGGCTGTGACACCTGGTGGGTCAGATAAAACTTCACTCAGTGATGCTCTGATAAGCCACCAGAGATTACAGTCTGGGCAGAGGATGAGAGAGGTGGACAGAGCGGGAGAAAGGGAGGAGGGGGTAGTCTGATTGACTGACTTCATTGTTTGGATGCAAGAGCGGTGTGCTTGAAGAGGAAAAGGAAGTGGAGAGATACCGGATCTCTTTGGCTCCACCAGGTGTCTTTGGCGTGTCCTCGGAAAGTAAGCTAATCTAAATCAGTAGAAAGCAGGTGGCTGCTCTCCTATCTGATGGGTGTTGTTTTGTCTTTTGTGAGACCAAGTATCCCTCAACAGCCTGGAAAACTACCTGTCCAAATATCACGGCGTCATCTGACCTTTGACTCGCCGAAAGCAATTGGATTTGAGAAACTTAATGAGAGGTGCAGTACGTCTCCCCTTCCTGCTTCTGGAGCTCACTGTGAAGAGCGGAGGGTTCATCCAGGCTGCTCAGAGTTAAGCACCTCTGTGCTAGCCTGAGGAAACGTATGGAAAAACACGGGGAGTCGAGTCAGAGATAGAGAGGAGCACATAGGTAAATGGACTATAAGAAAAGCGGAGAGGATGGGAGTGCGTCCCAGAAGATGCTTCAAGCCGGAAGTGTGTTCTGCGGATATCTGCTTAGAACAAAAACAAAAAAAATAAAAAGCACAATCTCGTGTTTATCTTTAGCCAGTCATTCACGATTGATTACTTGTCAAGAGATCTCTGGCTGAACGAGGAGCTGCCATAGAGGTTAGTTGCTTATAATCCCTCTACTTAAAGTATCAGATTGCACTGAGATAATCACCCATGAAATAGATTCTGGCATTTCATTTTTAACTTTTGGGGAAGCTTTGTCCAAGGAAATTGAGATTTAGAAGCACGAGAGGCAGGAGAGATGGACTAAGAAATACACAAAATTCAATAAATATGAGACTCCTGTTTTTATTTTTTATTTGACTGCTATTTTAATTTTCTATCACATGCCTCAGATTCACTAACACCGTTTTAAAATGTCAAACGGTTGTTTGTAAAGGTTAATGCAGCTCTTTGTTGTTGCTCGTTGCTTCAAAATCATCACGAATGCCTGCAAATTTTAATGACAAAAATGATGAATTGGTTCCTAATCCGGTTTATTTCTGGATTTGTTATTGATAAAAATGCTAATTTCCTACAAGCTGTCAGTCAAAGGCACATTACTCAGCCCTCCCATTTGCCTTTTAATTGTAATTTTCCTTCTGGTACATTTGTTCCTGTCTCCTCTCTTCCACCCTGTCCTCCTCCTTTTGTTGTCAACTCAGCACACGCGCAGCCTGCAGCACTTTAACCTTTTCTGTTGTTCCCCATCCCTCAATGCTGCACCGCTCGTTGTGTCCCCTCCTTGGCTGTGTTCGCTTGACAGCACTACGCCCCAGTGGCTTCTGGGCACAATGGTGCTCCACAAAGGCCTTGGGAGAATCCTCCGCCACCAAATTCTAGCAGCACAGGGAGACGGCTGTAGCGAATCCCATTCTCCTGCAAAAAAAAACATAAAAACTCAACTGCACACACACGTAGTTAAGAAAAAAAAGAAAATAAACTTTTTAGGAGGAGAATGCTCTTATGCTGTCAGTAGCAGTCAATAAAGACCATATCTCTTGGATTTTTTTTTCCCCTTAACATTTGACATGCGAGTGTTACAAAAAGTAAGAGAGAGAAAAGACGAGCAACATGGTGGCCTAAGACATCCAGCCACATAGAGAAAGTCAATGCACTTACTTTTGGTTTTAAACTTTAGCAAGTCATACTTCATATAAACTAAGTAGGTAGTCTTAGAGAATATTAGCAGGAGCCAAGTTCTGTGTTTCAGGTAACATGTAACATTTATAAAAGCAGGAGTTTTTCCTGGAGCAACTAGATGTGTGTTAGCGTAATGCCAACAGGGAAAGACATCAGCAGTTATCCTGAGGAACTCATAGTTCATAAATAAGACATGGGGTCATATGTAGTCAAGTATCATTAGGGTATTTTTTTTCAAGTTTGTACGAGTTTGAAGAAAGAAATTAAAGTATTGAATAATATTTGTTTTTCCAGATGTGGTTATTTGAGATGTTAAGATTAGCCAAGCCGTACCGATATGGAAGAGTCACTCAGGCACCTTTTATTTTCTCCAAAGTGAATCACATTGTTGGCTGTGTATCCAGATGGGACAGTTGTTTGGCACAAACCAGAGACGCACAACCCCAGTGGTTATATTTACAAATAAGAGTGCATCTAAATAAAAATTATTATTGTGAACAAGTGCAAAAGTAATCTCAAAAGGTGGAAGTCATACATCACATAGAATCATCACACGTGACATTTTATAACCATGGAGCATTTATTGGTTACCATGCAACAAACTCCCAAGATGTTGCTTCTTTTAGCACATTAAATAAAAAGAAATCATAGTTTTACATGTTGAAACAAACTCCAGGACTCGGTTAAGATACTCTGCTTAGACAAAGCCAGATTTCAAACGTTTTCATTCATAACACTTGGCTTGTCTTCCACCTTCATGACATAGGAATGTTTGCAATGAGCCGGCAACACATCTGTTTACCTCTGCAGTTTGGGAGTCAGATGTGAAGCCATCTGTCACGAAGACATTAGGGGCTTGGCTTTAACTGAGCCATACAACAGGACGATAATCCAAAGTACAGCAGGGAATCTTCAAACGATTTGAAAAACAAAGAGACACATTGTTACTGTAGGTCATAATTAATATGCTTTAATAGGACCTGAAGAGAGTTGTAGGAATGCTTGCAGATTTCACTTACATAAGAAAACTTGAGCAGGCCACAGCTCTTTGACAGTGAGGAGTACAGAAAAATGGCTCCTCTCGGCTTTTACAGTGTTGTACTTACTTATTTGTGCGTTTTGTATTTATGGTGCACAAAATTCAAACAGAAAACTCAGTAACACAAACTCTCAGGCTATCCAGACTTCATAAATCTTGGGTTATCTAATATCAGATTAAAGTTTTCTAGATTAAAAAACCACCACGCAAGATAAAGTACCACTGCACTAAATGTGACACTGACCCCACGTAGCTAAAGAAGTCCTCAAGAAAACTTTTTCCATTGAACAAAACAACAAGACGCCTCACGCAGCCGGAGCGTCTCGATTAATAATCTCTCTGCTTGCAGCTGTGAGCGGCGCCGAGGACGTGGCGCTGTACGTGGGCATGGTGGCCGTGGCCCTCTGTCTGACCCTGCTGCTCATCGTGGTCGTCCTGGTCTACCGGCGCAAGAAGGAGGGCCTGGACGCTGACGTGGCGGACTCCTCCATACTCACCACTGGCTTCCAGCCTATGGGCATTAAGCCCAGCAAGCCAGGTGTGTGGGCGCCACGGCCACGAAGGCCTCCCCACAGCAGTAGGACACTGTTTTTTTGTTTTACCCTCGTCTGTCCATCTTCCCACTGTGACCATGAAGCATTCGTCCACATGTCGCTCTGAACCTGTTGGGAACTGTGGTCGTGGAGGTGGTGTGAGTGCACTTACAAGTGGGTCTGTGGTCCAAGGAAGAGTTATGTGTGCGTGTGTGCATGTGCGTGTGTGTGTGTGTGTGTGTGTGTGTGTGTGTGTGTGTGTGTGTGTGTGTGTGTGTGTGTGTGTGTGTGTGTGTGTGCGCGCGGTTCATGAGCTCTTTATTTGCCTGCTTGGCACATTATGTTTCGCCACCACCTCATTGTCAGGAAACGTACCCACTCTGTTTACTGCCTGTGTGGAGCCTCTGAGGTTTAACAGCGAGTAATAGAAATACAACTGTCTGAGGCGGATGGAGACGGGGGAACTGGGTTGCAGTGGCTGTGATTCACCGTGAAAATAAAAAGCCTTTATGCATTCTGGATGCTAAGCTGCATCTGAGTTCTGTTTGGGATTGATTGTGTGGCTGCTAAAAAGACAGGCAGTGATAGAGCAGGAGAGGGTGGGGGGGTGGAAATTGAGTGGCTTTGGGTGGAATTTGTGTTTATGTGTTGTAGAGCATTTGCGTGTGTGTGTGTGTGTGTGTGAATGCTCTGTTTTCTGAACCATGTGTCTCTTTCAGTGTTTGTTTCAGTTTTTCTCTGCGTGATGCAAACAGCTTTAGAGTGTGAGGTCTGCCTGTGTGATGTTGAATCCCTCCACTCTCCTCCCTCCCTCTCCCTCCCCCCGCCACTCATTGAGATTCACATATCTCCCTTTTTCCTTTCCTCTCTCTGTTTTCATTATTCGAACAGAGAACTCCCATTTGCTCACCATCCAGCCTGATCTGACGACCACCACCACCAGCTACCAGGGCACGCTGCGCTCTCGCCACGACACGGCTGGGAAGTTCTCCATGACCAACGGGCCTCTGCTGGACCCGCTTCCCAACGGATCGCACACGCTCCACAACGGGAAGCTAAACTCGGACACCACAGAGTTTGTGAGCAGGCTGTCCACTCAGACCTACTTTAAAACTCTCCCCCGTGACGTGGCCAACACCTCCTACGGGACTTTCAACTTCCTGGGTGGGAGATTAACAATCCCCAACACAGGTGGGTTCTTCATTCATTTAATCTGTCTTCTCTGTTGTACAGATGATTTAATACAATTATGGAACCATAGTCTGACTTATAAGTGTTTTGGGAGGAACAGTTAATGGTCTGAAGAGCGTCCGTTGGTAATTTTTTACTTTTTGTGACATAAACTAGAGGCTACAAACTCATTAAGACATCAATGTGAAGCACATTGCTATTACATGACATGACATCTCAATGTTCTCTGTCCTCCAAAAGATTGAAATGCCACAACCAGCCACGATTAAAGCTGATGAACTTGATAACGTAGAATGAGATTTTAATAGGTCCATATTTAAAAAGAAGAAGAAAAAAAACGTAACACTTTTAATATGTCCAGATCAAGGCTTTGGAATCCTAATGAACAAAATGGTAAATGTAGTTTTCAGATTACTTTCTAATCAGCTGTTAGGAAAGCCTGTTTGTGTTTTACAGCATCTAATAAATGAGGAAGCTGACCGTCCTCTTTGAGTCGTTTTATTCTGGTTGCTTTGGCTTTTAATGTTTACAGTCATTTGCCCTTTATCACTCTTGAACTTTTTGATATTCTGTCATGAGCTGCAAACTTCAAAGTGTTTTATCCGGATTTTATCTGGTGAAAAATAAAAAAAAGACAGAGAAAAAACAGGATTCTATGCGATTGACCAATACACTGTAGTTTTTAATTGTGAATTTGAAAGATGCAATGGTTCTCAAAAAGTGTACCATGCCAAGTAATTAAAGGCACCTTAATAAAACCAAGTGTAACCAACTGCATTCAAAAGTCACCTCAACAGGAATAATGTGCTAGTAAACAAATGCCATCCGAACATTGTGTTTGTAATATATTAGATATTAATTTCTCATATAAAATATTAGAAATATTTAATATTTCTAATATAAATTACTATGAATATCTCATGGAGCGCTGCTCCCTCCATCATGTTAAAAAGTGTGGTAAAACTGAAAGTCTACGGACCTGAAGACATTCACTTCCACCTAAACTTACAGGCTCAGCAATAAGAGCAATCCTGAGCTTTGGAGATCTGCAGCTTACATCGCAGCCCCAGTCCGGCCTTTTATATGAGTGGCAGGAAAAAATAATGTTGAGGCAAAGCCATAAGAAGTCCTGTTTAAATTTATATTTTTAAATAGAGGACAGAGTAAATGTTTGGCAGCTATACTAGGTGTGGTGGAAAGCTAACACTGAACATCATCCCTACATGGTGGGGGCAGCATCATGCTCTAACGATGCTCTTCTTCAGCTGGTCTGTTAGCGAGTCACCTTCCAGCAGGACAACGACCAGCAGCTGCAAAATGAAAATGTTTAGATCAAAACACATTCTCAGTCACAGTCAGGACCTAAATTCAGATCCATGGCAAGACATCAAAAATTGATGATTTCCATAAAAATCTGATGGCAGAGATTTGAACTTGCAATTGCAGCAAAATCTGACAGTGTAAAATTTTGCAAATTTCTACTGACCAGATTGTATTTTTTAAAAGAAATCAAAAGCTATGCAGCCTTTTCATTCCAGTCCATAATACTGTGCTATTATTTAAAATGGAAATAAAGCACTTTGAAGTTGGTTGTAATGCGAAATAATTTAAGAGGGAAGAATGCTTTATTTGGTCTGATAAAAGCTGATGTGATCCGCACATCATCATTCAGATAGGTAAATAAATATATTGTTTTCATTCGTTTATTTTAAGCTCATAAAAGAAAGCTACTACACTGTATAAACAACATGCACCACAGACCAACATTTTAGTCCAAGGAGTTAAATGTTTAGGCTTCGGGTCCATGTAGCACGTTCTGTTCAGCGTGTTCATTCAACAGTTTCACCATCATGCAGAATCAGACAGTACAGACAGCAATGTTTTATTCACTCACTGTCTCTTCATGTCTGGCAAGGAGATCTAAGTAATCTCCTCTAATGCTGCTAAACTTTAAGCAAACAATACATAAATTATCCAAATAATTCAACATCTGCTGCTACAGTTTATGAAGAAGTGCTCTGAGAGAAAGGCCATTCTGTTGCTTTATTACACCTGCTTTAATGTGTCCGACTGGATGTTAACAAGGAGAGTTTATTAGGAACAGCTGAATCCTATAAACACTTCGGTGTCTTCCTTCATATGGGCTCCTCTAATGGGTTTTTACCAGGATAACACACGTGCAAATGTGTTTGAGGACTTAATGCAAGGCAAGAAACAAGCAGTCATTACGTTCCCGGGGACAAGATGAGGCCCCAAAAGTGCATTAAAAGCCTTGTTTTAGCCAGTGATCAACCCATTTGGACCTGAGACACCTGCTAAACTGTAACTGGCGGAGAAATATATTACATCATGTTCTAATGGGTTAAAAATACTCTCCAGCGCAGTAAAAAAAAAAAAAAAAGAAAGCGCATTGAGTAAAACAAATCGGACATTTTCCTTTGTGTGTGTTTGGGGCGATGACGACAAAGATGCAGAAGAATTGAGCTTATCAACGACGATGATTGGTTTTAACTTTTTTCTCAGACTCATAGTGTTTTGTTTTTTTTAAAGGATTTCAACACAGATTGTGAAGCTTTAAGAGTTTCAGTCATACAGTTTGACTCTGCTGACAAAACAAACCATGTTAGAGACTGCCAAGGAATGTTTAGGTGAACTAAACAGGGATGATAAAAATACTCAAAACATTCGCATTTATTTAAAGTCCGCTTTGGATTTTTCTGATTGGCTAAATGCATATCTGCACACAATGTTCTTACATATAGCACAAGTATTTGGTTGCAACTGTGCACTGTAAAAAAAAAAAAAAAAAAACATCTCTAATTTACAAGACATCAGCAGCTGTGGTTGAATTTTACCACATAAATACGGTAAAATTCTGGCAACCACAGCTGCTGGTATTTTATTGTAACTTTTATGGATTTTTTTTTACAGTGTACAGAATATGAGTAAATATTTTTGAAAGATGAATTTGATTAAAAACAAAAGGATCTGACCCTTATATGATGTCACCGGAGACTTTTTCACATGGAAGCTTTATATCGGTGGGTTGAATTTTTTTGATTAAATAATTTATAATAAAAAAAATATACCAAAAACAATACAAAACCTGAATATGAAGTACTGTGTGTGTGATAAACTACAGTAATTATGATTGATATTTTTGAAAAGTCTGCATGGAAGCTTTAAAAATTTAAGTGAGAAAGCAAGGATTTTGCCTCTAGCAGAATCTAGAGTGAATAATTTGGTCCAGTGCCTTGTCAGTAACCTACATCTCAACAGCACAGCATGAATAGTTAAAAGCAAATGTTCTGAGATGAAATCAATTTGTGGCAACAACATTGTACTTGACAAGAGTCCTGGAGTAAAACGTCAAACAAATTATTCCAATCAAGCTTCTGACTAATGCCGGAACAGGTTGAAATTGTAGTCCATGTCCACAAATGTCATCCATGGTCTAAGTGGCTGGATGGAGAAGTAAAGACAGTTAAAGTGATGCAATTTCTGACAAAAAAAAAGTCCACCATGATTATTCTGCTGGGGTTTTTTCTCCTTACAGCAGCAGAGTACAGAGCTTATATAATTATACTGGGAGACAGTTTTTCCACTTGGCTCTTTGTAGACTGTCCAGATTAGCTGATGCCAGCATGACAATATCTTCTAGAAGAAAAGGGTCTTTTTTCCTGTTTTTCTTCACCACTGCTCTCTCCCTGGGTGTGTGTGTGTGCGTGTGTGTGTGTGTGTGTTGCCCGTCTCTTACAGATATTTTATGCATGGATTAACTCAAAGCCATGTTGACTATACCACGCATTGGCACCTGTCTTCTCATAGGGACACAAGAAGGAAAGAAATCTTACACTCGCATGCATTCACTCAAAGGAGTTATTCTGTCATTCATCACGGCTTCAGAGCGAGCGGGAGCGCTCTTTACAGATCCAGGCGCGGATGCCAACGTTCAGACACCTTCGCCCGACTCAATCCGACGCAGCCTCATGACGAACAGACCCGGTTTAAAACTGAGAGATTGTTAAAATAGTGTCACATTCACTGTTTGGCCCACATTTTTAAATGCCATTCAGAGTGGGTAATTTTAGCAGAAGAATCACAACATGAATGCCGCAGCACTCAAACCGCTTCAGTGTCTCTCTGTGTTCTCCGACATGCATTTTCTAACACTCTCCTGGGGAAGTGCAATTTTCCTGAAGTAGTCTGTTCCATGGTCTCAATTATCTACTTTGTGGCAGACGGAGGACATTTAAACCACGCCGCCGCGCGCGCCTTTTGTCTCGGCTAATTGTTGACATCGGGGACGTGTGCCGCCACGGCTGCTGGCGCACAGATTTTGCATCCACTGCACCTGAAGGAGGCTGCCTCTGACCTTCAGAATAGATTTGGATTTTTGTTTAGTTTTGGGGGGGTTTCACGCGTACAGTTTGTGGAGTGGGCTGGCTTCCTTTGTGAGATGACAAAAGCACTGTTCAGTCAGAACAAATGAGCCTGTCCCCCACTCGCTCACACGCCTCCTCCCCCCTCCAACGCACTTCTCTCCCTTTTGTTGTTATTTGCATTAGGAATCAGCCTGCTCATTCCTCCCGAGGCCATCCCCAGAGGAAAGATCTATGAGATTTATCTCACTGTTCAGCGGAAGGAAGATTTAAGGTGGGTCTCTTTAGCGCTGTTTAACTGGCAGTCTTCCCTGAATGCCACTAGGCTGTTTGTTTTGATGCTCTACTGTTCCATTAGGAACGGCTTAAGAGGCTCTGCCAGTGCTGTGGAGGAGGGATGTAAATAAATAACATAGCCTTTTACAAGGATGTGCGCTGTTTAAGTTAAATGAATTGTTTGGAAAGCAGCGTCTATCTGGCTTGCCGCACTCATCCTCTGGAAGCGGAGCCGTTGCATTCTGTAATGTTTCTTCGGTCCTCTCGCGTTGGCCCGGCTCGTCTCAGAGTCCAGCAGCGGGCTTTAATTATTCTGTGTTACAGCTGCTGGATAATTTGCAGAGGTGACAGTATCATATCCTGCCTCAAAGAGAGCTGTAAATTCTCTCTAATATCGAAATAATTGCAACCACTTCATCTTAATGCGTCCACCTCTTCCCCACTCCCGCCGTAGGTTACCGCTGGCCGGCTGCCAGACCCTCCTGAGCCCCATTGTGAGCTGCGGCCCTCCGGGGGTGGTCCTGAGCCGGCCAGTTATCCTCAGCATGGACCACTGCTTTGATGCGTGCCTGGATAACTGGGCCGTCCGCCTCAAGAAGCAGAACTACGAGGGCGCTTGGGAGGTGAGAGTCTAACTGCAGCTCCAGCACAAATCCTTTTTGTAGGAAGACAAAGCCGCTAGTCAGTGCAACTGTGAAGTATTACTGAACTTATTGATTGTTTCTGTGTGAAAAGTACAAACTTTTCCTGCTCGTGACTTGAAATGCACACCACAACACACCCGGCTGCCTAACGTACTCCTCACTACTCCTCCACAGGGTTTAAATTAAAGGGCCTGGAAAAAGTATATATGTATTTATACATCCTACATGTTTTTTTTTTTTTTCACATTTTGTCATCTTTATGCCATATCTCAAAATGGACGTTACTGAAATTTATCTGACTGAATAGTAAAAAGTACTGTATAATTCTATCAAAGTATTTGCAATTGAAAACCTGAAAAGTGTGAAATATGTTTCTATTCAGCCTCTGATAATGATTTATAGAACAACCTTTTGCTGCAGCTAAAGCTTCATGTGTTTTGGAGTAAATCTGTTTAATCTGCACATTCACACTGAGATTTTCGGCCAGTCTTTCCAAAACTGTTTAAACCAAACACTGACTTGGGTAATTTATCACTTGATGATGCTTTGATCTGAACCACAGCTTTGTAGCTTGGGTTGCATGTTTGTTGTGCTCTTGTTAGCAGGTGAAACTCTGCCATATCCTGGCAGGTTTTCTTCCAGGATTGCTCTGCATTTTGCTTCCTCCCATTATCCACCCCCCCATTCTCTGAGCAGCTTCCCTGTCCCACAGCATGATACAGCCACCTCCATGTTTCACTGTGGGAACTGGGTGTTCAGAAGGATCATTGTGTTCCACACGTGCATGTTTAATTTTGTCGCGTTGAATCACAGCTCCATCTTCCACATATTCACCACGCTCCTTACATAGCTCGTGGCAAACAGAACATATTGATTTCTTTTTCTTACCACTCTTCATTATAGACCAGATTTGTCTAGTGCAAGACTAACATTTATCGTGTCGACAGATTCCCCTATGTGAGCTGTGGAATGGATCCCTGCAGCTCCACCAGGTTCCCACTTTGGGCTGCTTATCTGATTATTTGTGTCCTTGCCCGGCCTGTCAGTGTAGGTGAATTGTCGTGTCTTAGTAGGTTTACAGCTGTGCCAGGCTCTTTCCATTTTCAGATGATGGATTGAATAGAGCTCTGTGTTACATTGTTTTATAACCTAACCATGCTTTAAACTTTCTCCCTGACCTGTCTGCTGTGTTTCTCGGTCTTTATGAAGCTGTTTGCTCACTAATGTTCTCTAACAAACCTCTGAGGTCTTCACAGAGCAGCTGGATTTACACTGAGATTGATGACACAGATATGAATCCCAATAAAGGGAGGATGAAAACAAACGCATGCACCTTCACGTAATGTGCTCAAAAATAGATTTGTCAGAATAATGCTCATTTTTGCGTCGGTCCGCCACATAAACTCCCAAGAAAGCAAAAAAAGTTTGTAGTTTTAAAGCGACAAAAGGAAGGTGAAGGAAGTGGGAATACTTTTTGCAAGTCGCTGCACGCTGTCCATCGGCTGCTTCGCTCCAGCTAAAGGTTTGCTTGGCAACATGATTGTGAAAATAGAAATTCTCTAAGCAAATTACTCATCCTCAAAGTGCTCTTCTGAGTGCTCCTTGACCGTTGTCGACTGCTGCTTCCAATTTGCAGAGTTTTCTCCCTGTTTTTCTACCCATGAAATTCGAACGTTGCCCATGTTGCAAATGAATCTAGCCGAGAACAGCCCCTGGTGGGCAACACAGCCTCACACAAAACAAACGCCGGTTCGAGGCAGTCTACTCATCTCAACAACCCAGAGAGATTGGAAAGGGTGCTGGTGGCTTTGGAGTGTTACTAGGTCTTCTTTCATGTTCGATATTGTGCATAAATTATTCAGCCTCTCCCCACCGTCCGTGTGGCAGCGGTGGGGTGTCTGTGGGATGGATTGGCCTGTCTAAGGCTGAGGTTAGACCAGCACTTTTAATCATCGGACGGGCCAAATATAGCCCGACTGCGTTGGCCACTACGGTAAAGAAGCGCCAGGTGGACGAGAGAATGAGAGTGGAAGGAGGCACGGGTGTGTGTCAGAAACTAAGAGCAGAAAGAAAGAGGAAGCAGATGGATGCAAATGAGCAGGTAATGCAGATCTATTGGAGAGAAACCACAAAAATGTAGCGCAATAGGAGAGATGTGGAAAACACAACGCATACAGATGGAGAAATTAACCTTTCCGCTGCAAAACTGAGCTTCTGTTTCACCACGGAAATATTAAGACGATAAAGAAATAAGACTCCATTGTGGTTGCATAGAAAATGAATCGTGTCGATACTAATTCTATTGATGTAGATGGTGTCTGTGTGAATCGATCCTAGAGGGGCTCGCTGCGCATTTGGCAGGCACAATTCTCTCTTTAGCATGGTGGGCTAATGGGAAGAGTCAGTCAACAGGCATGATGTGATTTTAGAGAAAATGTTGTCACCTTGGGCCCAGTTCGTCTCCATCAAATTAGCCGAGAGAGCATTGGAATTATCTCATAAAAGCTGTGCAGTGCCGCGGCTGAAATGGGATATTTTCACAGATGTCCCGTCCTCATCAGGATTCAGAACTTCACCTTTGTGGCGAAGCCAGGAAATTCAAGGCGTCGCCTTGCTGGTCTAGTTTTTATCAGAAATCAGCAATGTTTGGAAGATCTCATTCTAACACCCTTGTCCCTTAGTGGGGTCGGGAGGGCTGCTGGTGCCTATCTGCAGCGAGACATTTTGGGCGAGAGGCGGGGTCACCCTGGACAGGTCGCCAGTCCATCGCAGGGCAACACAGAGAAAGACAGGACAAACAACCATGCACACACCCTCACACCTAAGGAGAATTTGGAGAGGCCAGTGTTTTTGGACTGTGGGAGGAAGCCGGAGAGAACCCATGCATGCACAAACTCCATGCAGAAAGACCCCAGGCCAGGAATCGAACCCAGAACCTTCTTACTGCAAGGCGACATTGCTGCCAACTGTACCACTATGCAGCCCAGCAATGTTTGTTTTACAGATAAATGAGCAAGTATCGACTCTCCAAACAAGTAGAAGCAAATTTCCAAACTCCCAATAATCCCCGTACCGCTGCGACCTTTTCCTCCTCCAGAACCATCTGTTCTCGCCAGGAATCCGTTTGGGTCTTCTTTCATGTCAGTGGAAGATCTCGTTCATGCATTATTGAGTAAACTGAGGGTATTCTATAGGACGTGTGAGGAAGGATGCGGCTTCACGTCGGCGTGTTGTAAGCGGCTTTGCGGTGAGAAGGAAATCTGAAGCAAGAACAAAGTATTTGCTTTTTTCCTCTGATCCGAACTGTTGCCTAGAACTTTATGTAACATTACCCCGAAGACCTTTCGCTTTGATGCCACACCGCAGGAACAATGTAGTTTGGGTCCTTTCTGCGGCGCCACTTTGCTAACGAGCCCTTTGCAAACACACTCCTACGCGTACATCAGGCAACACATTACCCTTCCCTCCTACATAAATTGGGTGCTTGACCTTCCGTCCACATCTTGTTTTCTTTTTCTCCTGTCCTCCAGGACGTCCTGCTGATGGGGGAGGAGCTGGTGTCCGAGCCTTATTACTGCCAGCTTGAGGCCGAGACGTGCCGCCTGTTCACAGAGCAGCTGGGCACCTTCGCCCTGGTGGGAGAGTCGCTGCACATGGGCGCAGCCAAGCGCCTGCGGCTCGTCCTCTTCTCCGACGCCTACTGCTCCACGCTGGAGTACAACATCAGGGTGTACTGCATGGACGACACGCAGGACGTCTTCAAGGTAAGCTGCCGCTCACGTCGCCTTCAGCGAGTGTTTACCCGTTTGTTTAATTCGAGCACATCCTGTAATAACATTCGTCCGCAGACACTCGGAAAAAACCGAGCGCAAAGTGAAATTTAAAAACCACCTTCAGGTACGTTTATTTTAAAGAAATTATTTGGACTACCAATAATCGTGCCTCTGGTGACTTGGCTTAAAAGCAATTTTCTTCCCCCCCACCCCCACCGACTGAATAAATGCACTAAAACGAAACTTTGATTTATTCAGCTGCTTTCAGTGTGAGAATTTATTTACTTCTTAGACAGTTTTTTGTTTTTTTGTTTTTTTTTTTGTTGCCAGGATTGGCGACAGATTTATACGATCTGAGATCAAATTAGAAATGCTGTTCATGTGGTGTGATTATTGGTGTTGATTTATGTTTTGTTAGGATGTTTGTTTGTTTTTTTTGTTCTTCTCAAGGATGTCCTCAACTCTGCCCATTTGCTGAAAGCCAATAAGTTTTCCAACACTTTATGCACTGACATATTTTACTTCCCATTTTCCCTCTCCACATGGACAGAGTATAATCAAGCGCTAATGCCTTTGCTCCCTCCCTGGAGGACTGCCTCTGAGTAGCCTGTTAAGATTTCATTTGCATGGTTAATTAGTAAATTAAAAGGAGAGTCTGTCCCAATCTTTCCCCACCAAACCCCCAGTGCTCCCTTTAGTCTCTCTCCACACCTCTCAGTCACTCTGAAAAGCTGTTCCTCTCCTCCGCTGTCACCACCCACAGCCACAAGTGGCTCTTCCACTAGATTCCACTTCGGCTGCTCTGTAATGGCTGACCCGCGCATGTAAAGGTGCAACACCATCACGATGCCTGCAGGACATAAACAGTGGAAGTCACTCAGAGTTCACGCTGAAATTAGCACACAAGTCAGGAAGATGATGATAAGGTGAAGGCTGCAAATGCCTCTGCTGGCGCACAGTTTCACACTCATTTTGTCACCTTACAACCACAAACTTTAATGTATTTTAGTGGCATTTTAGCAAAGAAAAGCTGATGAATTATTAACATTAGTCTCTTCTTTGATGAGCAGTCAGGCTCAATAGGGGTGCATCATATTAGAAGTTCTTGCGATGGTGATAATGATGGTAAACATTGCAAAGGTGATACCAAGTGCAGTGCATGCCTATTTTCTCCTGCTTCTAATCTGTTCTCCTCATACTCTGCAACTTTTCGTATTTTGGGGAGTGTTTTTGTCAGATTTGAGCATCTGCTGCAAATGACAATCACTTGTTTAGATGCTACAGTAGCATGCAAGATGCAAGTTTGTAGCACCTGAATGATACTAACTCAGTTCGATTGGATGGAGAGCATCTGTGAGCAACAAGTTCTCAAACAGATTTTAATTTTTTTCTATTCACATTTTAACATGGGAATGTGCTTCATTCTGAAGAATCCCACTGCAATGGAGGCTGTATGCTCAGGATAATTTGTGCTTCATTTGAGGGCATCAGAGTGAAGGGGACTGAACACAAATGGTTGCATGTGATATAATTTTCACATGTGACAAATGAAGACAAGATGTTCTGTTGAGTGGCCTCTCAGAAAGCCAGTTGAATACATATTTTTTAAATTATTAATTTGTCCTGTTTTTTATGCAATTTTGGCTCTTGTGAAATTCTCTGATTTTGTATTAAAAGGTGCTACATAAATAAAGTTTTACTTACTAATCTGTAAAAACTTTTGAAAACCACCCATCTCTTAAACTTCACCATTCTGTACTATTTCGAGATGCTTTACCACTAAAAATTCCAATAAATTACACCAGAAAGAGCGTGGTTGCAATATAACAAAATGTGAAGAAGTGCATTCTTGCAAGGCGTCATATCTCTCTTTCTTCACTTTTAAATCCATTTAAAGCCTTTACAGTTCTTCTAATGCAACGTGTGAGAAATTTGGCACATTTAAGAAAAAATAAAAAAATCCAACAACTATTTGTTTGATGGATGTCAAGCTATACGCTCGCCGGCAGTCAGATCATCAGTTAACGTGGTGGCAGTTTGCTCGAGCATTACTGCTGCAGTGACCTTGTGTGTTCAGCACTGGATGCAGGAAGGCTTTCAGAGGCCAAAAAAACCCCTCTTTCTCGCCGCCCTTTCCTCTAGTTAGCTCTCGTTCTGCCTCTCTCAGCCAGGAAAAGGACATCTGAGCTTGTTGACTTCAGCACTCGCGCTCGCCATATTCCGCGTCTCCCCCGACGCCCTTGAGTGCATTAGCTGCCCGTCTCTCACACCAACCTGGTTCTGTGGTAAGCCACGGCGTCTCCGGGGCTTTGTAGTTTTTAGTGAGTGATTTAAAGCGCAGCCCTCACTGTTTAGTAATCTCGACTCCACGCTGCTCTTGGTGCTATTACAAAGGGAGCAGCTCATTTGGCGAGTACATTCACCACTTTGAGTGGAGATTAAACTTCCCCGGAGAGGTCGGGCCTAATCACTAATCACTATCTTTAAAATGCACCTTTTATGATTAGTCCCTCACTCGGGCTGCCATTAGAGTTAAGTGTAGCATGCCACAGTAGGTGGCACAGTGGAGTAGCTGTGGATGTACTAGTCTGTAGTACATCTTCACTATATGTGAATGTTCTGACAGGACTACAGCACCTTGTTTTTCAGGCAGGTTTCCAAGAATTAAGCAAGCTGTACTTCTAAAGGGAGTTCAGTGGGCAGTGGGAGGGGGGAAAAAAAAGCTGTTCTGAAGCAAGAAAACTGCAGAGACTAAAAAGAAGGCTGAGCTGTTCCCTCCATCGCTGGCTGTCAGTCTGCTCTGACAAGGCTCCATCAGGGAGGATGACACACACACACACATGCATCCCACACTTAAGCCTGCCTCACTCTTATCTCACTATTACAGCAGATTAGAACCAATGGTATTGTCTTTGATCCTAAGTGTACGGGAGCTCTGGGGAAACGGTGACATTTCCGTCTGATGCTTGCCATATGTTAGCAGGGCTCTGCGGGGACCAATTAAGTTAATATTTAATGTGTGTCCCACACTTGATGGGCCCAGCCAAGGCTGGCACAGCAGCAGAGGCGACATGACCGCCGTTTGGTTGTGCCCTCACTGTGCACTCGGGTTGTTCCCAGCTAGACCGGTGGGAGAGCCTCACTGATGTTTCGCCATGTCGCGACTGACAGAAAAGCACCTGCGGTGAACCGAGCCTTCAGCCCGGCACACAGACAGCTATCAGCAACGTCTAATTAACCGGAAAGGTGCAAACGAAGGTGTCTCTTCAGGAAGGGAAAATTTACCCGAGATGCTCTGCATTTCACACGCAGACTTGTGTACAAAGGATAGAAAAACCGAGGATGTTTTTCACAGAACAGCAGAGCGATGACAAAATTATCTTTGGGTTTGTCGATACCTAGGCGTTATTCCCGAACGCCCACATGTCTGCGTTTTGGGAGTCAAGTGTTGTGCTTTAGAACAAAAAAACCCAAACATGAACAATGGTTTAGAAGCCACCCACATTCTGTTGGATTTATTTTTCAGAGGTTGAAGCACAAATAAGATTTTTTATTTTTTTTTTGTAAGGAGGGGAAATGCGTTTGGACTTTTGAGGGATCATCGTGAGCTTTTAATTCAACAATTTTTTTTTTCGTATTTCTTCACTCATGCGGCTTAACTTTAGCAAACTGTCTGCTTTTATATGAACTGCTAAGATATTTTCTCTTTACATTGTGTAGACGCTCCTCTTAGTTCACACATTTTAGCTTTTCCAGAACTTTATTACTAAATTTCTATAAACCTCATACTCCCACCTGGTTTAGCCACAATGAGTTTGCTAATTAGCTAATACTTTATTTATTGCTTTGTTCTGCTTTTTATAAAAACATAATTAGTAGTACCTTTTAGCATCTTGCATGGAACATATTAGAGTTTTTACATTAATTCTGCAGTGCCATGTTCAAAATTATCTTCAAAAGGACCAAAATCTGACATATTCTGAACTTTCACATGGATTTTTATGCAAATAAATAAAATAAAATAAATAGTATAATCACATGATTTCAAATTCATATTTATGCATCATAATATGTTCCTAGTTTAATATTTTCATATTTAAGGTCATGTGTGTTCTCTGCTTCTTGGTCAAATAGTAATGGTTAAATGAAAGAACATCCCTGTGGTCAATTTTTAATTGCATCCCCATAAAACTTGGTTCATATAAACATTTTAAAATCCTAGAGTTTAAAGGGAATTTTTTTTTTTGTTTTCATTTGTTTTACACTTGCATAATGTACATAAATGACATAAATGTACATGCTGAGCTTTAGTAATCGTGATTAAAAATTAATGCATATGAAAAGACTAGGTTAAAGTGGAAAACAAGTATTTTAATCTTAGTTTTTATTCACATAATGAATGAGTGGCTCAGAGTTTGTGAAGTGAGGTTCTGTTAGAAGCTAATATCTTCCCTGCAGCTAATATATGATTGTAGTTTTTAGACTTATAGGGTGTTTCTTTTTTTTTCTTTTTTTAAGTGGGATTCTGTGCAGGGGTTACCACTTGTCAGTATCTTATCTGTTGTAGACAGGAGTCCAAACATCCTCAGTTTGCAGAAAGAGACTAAAGTTCTCAGTAGAGTTGATCTAACAGAAAGTCCCGGTGGAGACGGCTCCACAGCAGATTATAACAACTTTATCTTGAATGCCACTTTATTTACTTGAACGCTGCTTTACGAACCTGACGCCACATTATTTTTGCATGTGCAGAAAGCTCAACCAGAGTTAGTATCCGAAGCGAATGTAATGCAGTGAAACAAAGTGAACTTTATAGCGGTTCAAGCGGATGTCCTTTATTCACTTTATGGGTGGAACATGTTCTGTTATGCAACACCTGTCTCGCATGGAAGATAATTAGTGACACCCTGTGGATCCACACACTTCTCCAACCTAATAACCACAGACTTTTTGTCAGTAAGTGTCTTATGCAAATGTGGCAGCACTGCAGAAAT